GCACATGCGCACACACACACTCACACGCACTTGCACACACACACGCACACAAACAGACATGCACATGCACATGCACACACACACACGCACTTGCACACACACACGCACACAAACAGACATGCACATGCACATGCACACACACACACGCACTTGCACACACACACGCACAACCCCCACACACACGCATGCACACACACACACACACACACAACACACACACGCATGCACACACACACACACACATGTATGCACACACAGACACACACACGCAAACCCCCCACACACACGCATGCACACACACACATACACACGCACGCACGCATGTGCACACACACACACACAAATACACATGCACACACACATGCACACACCCCCCACACACACACGCACACACACACACACATGCACGTGCACATGTACATGCACATGCACAACCCCCACACACATACACACACACACACATACACACACACACGCACTTCCACACACACACACATACACACAAACACACATGCACGTGTACACACATACACACACACACTTGCACACACATACACACACACACGCACACACACACGCACAACCCCCACACACACGTATGCACACACACACAAACACACACACGCATACATGCATATACAAACACACACACACACACACACAAACACACATGCACGTGCACACACACACACACACACACACAACACACGCACACGCATACACACACACACACGCAAACCCCCCACACACACGCATGCACACACACACATACACACGCACACACGCATGCACACACACACACACACACACACACACACACACAAATGCACATGCACACATACATGCACAACCCCCCCCCACACACACACACATGCATGCACACACACAAAGACATGCACATGCACAACCCCCACACACATACACACACACATGCACGTCACACACACACACACACACACACGCAAGCACACATCCCGAGCGAGCTCTGATGACAGTCCCTTGAGTTGAAGCAAAGGTCAGCAAAGATGTGTGAGATTGTGGTAACTCACACTGCACCCTTTCTCCCAAGTTCAGTCTTATCTCCTCTGCCTTCATTTTATTGACCTCCTCTCCTTCCACCGTTCACCTGTCATGTCATCCTTCAGCAGGAAGCATTGTAAGTAAGATGTGAATTCCCAGCCAAGCAGTTTTATTGGATTCATCTGAGGCTGCATGGAGGGAAAAGGCTGTGTGTAACATGAGCCCCTGTGTGCCTACAAGAGGGAGCTGGGCTAGTTATGCCAATGTGGGATTAAGCTTCCTGCTAATTGTAACAGAAGCCAAGCTGACCAAAGCTAACCGCTCTGATTCTGAAGTCAAACCAAGGTCAGGGTGAGGAGATAGCGCTATCGATCCCACACTGAGGAGGAAGAAGGAAACTTCCAGTCCATCTCGCGGCTCGATGCAGCGCTCCTCCAGATTCTACCGTCTGACACCATTAGTGGGTCTTTGTCAGCGGCTCTGATCTCAATTGCCTCAGAAAAGTTCAATGTTATTTTACACTGGGGGGGGGGGGGGGGGGGGGGGCTTCTGGTTTCAAACATTAGTGTTGGAGAAGAAAAGGGTGCATCCACACAAAACACTATAAATGATAGATGATCCGCACTTGTATAGCGCCTCTCAGAGTAAGGACTCCAAAGCGCTTTACACTACAGTGTATCATTCATCCATTCACACACAAATTCACACACTGATGGTGATGAGCTACGATGTAGCCACAGCTGCCAAACAAACAGAGCCAGTGGTAGAGTTGTGTTGCTGTTACCCAATCAGAGGCAAGATGTTTAAATATCAGGAAATAAGACTTTAAATTCTGTCGACTGAGGCTCACCTCTGCGGTGGCTAGGAATGGGTTTCTTTTTAAGGCACCGACTGATTGCCATAGTACCAACTGAGTACCGATTCACGTCATATGAAATGGTGCCTTTTTTTGGTGCCCGTGTCACGTGCCGGTGAAAGAGCGTGATGTCATCAGTCACTGTGGGCGAGCTGTGAACAGAGCAGCATGGCAGAGAGGAAGTGTTCTGACGTTTGGGTCCACTTCACTAAATGGGATGGGTAACTGGGTGATGAAGAAACCAGCAACAACGGTCTAAGTGAGTAAGTTAGCAGGTAAATAAAATGTTTAAGATAACGTTAGCTTGATATGTTAGCTTCCATTTGATGCTAACATGGTGCGATTGCTTTCTCCTCGGAACGCAGAAATTCCGACTTGAAGAAAGCAAACGCGCTCTGAAGCTTGGTTTAACTTCGCTAAACACGATGGGCTACTGGGTGACGATGAAACCAGCAACAACGGTCTGAGTATGAAGCATCTTAATCTACTCCAGCAGCAAAACAAACTTTAAGATAGCGTTAGCATGATAGTTTATTTTTTATTTACATTGCTAATGGTGCGTTCGCTTTCTCCTCGCAAATTCCAACTGAGTAGGAAAAATATACAGTATGAAAAAGAATGGCATGTGGCTCAGACAGGGGATAACTCCATTTCTCTGGCTGCCATCAGGTAACAGAAATGATGTATGTGTGACTTTAACCAAGAAACACACATCTGAAAAATCTCATTGATGACTGATAATAGGAAACTAATCGATCAGGCCTGTGACGTACACGCCCCTTACCACCATCTTAGATGGTGAACAGAGAATAGAGGAGAACACTGTATTATATTGTTTTTGGATTTTTAGATACAAATGTAGAAAATGTAGAAGACTGGACGTGTACTCTCCCCAGGAAGATGCTAGGGACTGATATTTAGCGAAAGTGGCCACCAAAACAAAATGGATGCGTATGACCTGAGGGCTAACTGTTGAAGAGCTGACACAGGACTCATACCAACTTCTCTGGAAGTCGTTGTCTGGTTTATGGAATAAACAATTACACAGTTTTGGAACCACAGACCACTGAAAGCTGACAAACACTTCTCCAGCAACTCGGTGGAGGATTTGATCTCATTTCAACCAGAGGACTAAATGAACACAGCTGTCTCAGCGAAGGTGAGACAACAAACAGTAAACTTGTTTGTAGTGTATCACCATAGAAACCATGATGATGGTTTGCTTGTCTCCTATGGACGTTAAAGTTTTATAACAATGAATTCTCTGTGCATTACGTTTTGGAGCAATAGTGTTTTTAAATGTGTCTGTCTAGTCCTTTCATTTGACCTCAGTTTCAGTTCAATATCGTTTATTGATGAAGCGCCATTTCACAGCAAACGTCGTCTGAAGGCACTTGGCAAAGAATACATTCCAACTGAACCTACTTATCAGGGTTCTTCCCCATGTGAGGTTTTCAAAGATATTATGATCCACTAATAACAGTCGAAAGGGCCTCTGCTACCCACAATGCACTGCACCTTTGTCCGTGTGACGACAAAGACTGATAAATGTTACCAAGTCCTAACTTCACTGAACACAATTCTAAAACATCTTTTACAAAAACTGAAACTAAATTGGTCTTTGTTGTTGAAGATCTGAAGCCAGATGTCCTTTGTCAGTCCCTGTCCTCTAGGTGTTCGTTATGAAGTGGTGCGAACACATCATTAACTCCCGGAGTAACGTGACCCAGGGTCAGAGGTCAACTGACAGAGCTGACGGTGATGTCAAGTGGTTCACCGTGCAGTGAGTCCCATCTGGTCTTTGGGAAAGATCAGACAATCTGTCGCCACATCCGTCTCTCTCTCTCTCTCTCTCTCTCTCTCTCTCTCACACACACACACACACACACACACACACACACACACACACACACACACACACACACACACACACACACACACACTTGAATGTTGTATCTAAGCTGTCAAATCTACATGAAATCATGATGGAGGAAGTGAACCCCCCTCCTTTCTCCTGCTCAGCACTTGTCACAGATACAATCAGAAGGTGCTTCATCATTATTTCTGATCGATCAAACAGCTGGCTCAGCATGGTGCTGATTGTAGAGTAACAATTTGGAATGTGATGTAAAGTTCTCATCATCAAGTCAACTTTATAATAATAATATTGTTTTAACAAAAACCAAACATTTAGGCATGAACGGGGTCTAAAGGTTACTGTTAGAAACTCTGTAAACTCTAATTTAGATCAATTTAGACCTCATTAAAAATGAGGGCGAAGCGGTCCCCCAAAGTCCCTTTTAAGGTACCATGTGTCGTTTCCTGAGCACACAAGACTGATGTTCCCATCAAAAGGGTCTCAGACACCTGACATGGGGTTTCTCTACCCATGCTTTTATTTTGAAAGGCTACATTAGTAAATAGTAATTAGACATGAATTAAAAACTGTTACTTTGTGGGATCCGAAATATTTATTTTAAATGCCGTTATTTGAAAATCTTTGTTTTTAATTTAGCACGTGACTGTCCTCTTTCAGAAGTGTTCTTGAGTCTGTGCGCTGCCATCCGTAGAAAAACTTTGTCAAACCGACCCAAGAAAATAAACCCTGGTTCTGGTTCCTGGGCGCCTTCGTGTGCGCGTGGAACAGGCTAGAAGAGATCCACATGACAACAGTAACATCTGGCTGCAGCTCCGGAGATGATTACTCTGCTGTCACAGAACCCATTTCTACTGTACACACACACACACACACACACACACACACACACACACACACACACACACACACACACACAGATTGGCAAAGCCAGATGGCAGGGACTGACACCTAAACCCCAAATAAAATAACAGCGACTGTGTTGGAGCGCGTTTCTCTGGAAGGAAGTCTGGCCGAACTGTTATTAAATACATAAATTAATTTACAAATTAATTAAACGACAGAAAAGTGACGTAATCTAATGGTTTCAGTTTAATAAATTTAATTTATGTTTAAAATGGTAAAAATGTCACAAATGGAATATGAAATAACTAAAGACATAAATTAAATGCAGCTGATCTCCGAACACCTGGTAGAAGATTCAGTGGGTCTACTCAGATAAATACTTTGCGTAACATGCGTGCGTACCTGTACCAGTTCAGACCCCGTGCGTAATGCCGATCAAAGAAGTGCGGCTCGGACCCCAGGGCTCGGATGTCCGGATGGAGTCTCAGGAACTCCAACAGAGCCCTGGTGCCCCCCTTTTTCACCCCAATAATCAGCGCCTGGGGCAGCTTCCGCGTGGCCGTCCAGGCCTTCCCAGAGCTATTCTCCAGGCTGGGGTAGCCGCTGCCGAGCGCGCCCTCTCCCACTGGGTCCGTTCCGTTCCTCCCGTAGGGCCATCCCGATCCCGTGACCAGAAAGTCGCGTGGAGAGGCCTTGGCCTCAGAGTTCTCTGTGAGCTCAGACTCGCAGCATCCGGTGAGGAGGTAGACCAGCGAAAAGCAGATGATGCTCAGAGAGGAAGCGATGGTGAGGCGGTGGAAGAGCCGGCGCAGGTCGGCACCGGGCGGGTGGAGGTGGTGGTGGCTGAAGAGTTTGTGGTGACGAGGGTGAAAAGCTGCCATCCCTCCGTCGCTGCCATCCTACCACCGCACCAGCTCACACCACGGTAACATCCCTCTAACTTTTCTTGGAGAGAAGTGCGCTCCGCCGCGTTGCGCCTACATGCTGTGCGTCAGGAGCGCACGGTAAGCCCCCACCTGCCGTAAAGAAGCCCACCACGGAGAAGCAAGGTTCTGCGTGACAGTCAGGACGCGGGACTACTTAGTCTCCTCGGTGAGGGAGATGAATGAAGCGCTTCACCGGATTACTGCCTCTCCAGCTCATCATCCAGGGATCTGTCTCCCTCCTCTCCCCACTCTCCCTCCCCACCCCTCATACACTTGATTGGGGGTCATGGCCTGAGGTGTGTTTAATTCCACTATTATTTATCAGAGGGGCCTTTCTTAGAAGGAATTACCCGGAGCATGGTTTCATCAGTGTCCAGTCAGATAGGTGGAATCATCTGGAACTTCCTACAACAACATTTATCAAGTCACACAAACACCTGAATGTGCCATTTAAGTAAGCCCTGGTTCGGTTTGGGATCAACACGTTCATGCACTCTGAGACTGTAACTGGCTTAGTAACCAGTCAGCATTAGGCTGTGGGCACACCTGCTAGCTGCTAATCCTGACCTGAACTACCCTAGCATGGTGCCAGATTAGTGAACAGCTTCAGTTTGGTTAAACAGAGATTGGTTCCAATCGGTCTGATAAGCTAACTACTAGAAAAAAATTGGGCCAGAAAGCATCTCTAAAGAACTGCAGACAGTAAAACACTAAACATTAATAAACTTGGTGAGAAAAAAACATGACTGTCATGACTCCCAGGCTTACACCTTCCTCTGCCTCTGCTGCCTCCTCTATCAAGCCCTCAGCCATTTAATTAGCATCACCTGCACCTTGTCATTAGCTCATCTCACACACCTGCTCTCCTGCTATATATTCACCAGCCAGCCACCAGTTCCCTGCCAGATTATTGAACGCTCTTTGCCAGTAGATCGTCCAGCCTTTCACCTTGTCTGATCACCGCCTCTGTTCCTCGTATTCACGCCTGACCCCTGCCTAGGACTCTGCCTGCCATCTCGACCCTCGCCTGTCTTTGACCCCTTCTCTAGCCTGCTCCATTAACCTGCTTCGCCTCGTTCTGGTTTTTGACCCACGCCTCCTCTCCGACTCTGTCTCCAGCCTCGCCCTCCTCGGGTAACGCCATGTCTAATAAAGACTTTTAAAGGAGCTTTACTGTGTTTGGTGTCATCACGGGTCCTCCAAGTTCTGGTCGTGACAATGACGGAACATTTCTGTTGCATTTACTAAATTATTTCATGTATTAATAAAATTAGAATATAAACCATAAATGTGAATAAAACACCAATAAAAAGTCATCATATAAAAGGACTTTAGATTGTTTTTACCCTGAAACCTTTTGAGCTTTTTCATGAACATGCCATCCGAACATGTCTGAACTTGAATAATTTTGATATTTTTTTGTTCCTTTTTTAAACATCTTTTTAAAATAGTTTAACGAATAGAATTAAATCTATGTTACCCAACAATAAAAGCACCCAAACTAAAGAGGGATGACAGACTTTTAGATCCTGACAATCTGACTGCTTTTTCACAATGAAACAAACGGTCTTGTCTTAAATTAGACAGAGCAAAAGGGAAACCAACTCTGAGATTTTAAACCGTTATATTGATTGTTGCTCTCCTTGAGCCCTCCTCAAGCTCCTGATGAACACGTGTTTTCCTCCCACCTAAAAAATATTCAAATTAAAACAGCAATGGATGATGAGAGCAGAGTCATAATTCCATTCTGGGAGCATTGGAAATGCTTTGATTGGGACTGTGATCGGTTCCTTTAGATGAGATCAGGACATTGGATCTGATTCATATCTGTTTTATCTCTTTTAATTCACTCAGTTTCCATATCCAGCGGTTGTTCCACAAGAATTGTTCATATTTCCAGCCAGAGCTGGTCCAGTAGCTTCAGTGTAGTGATCTTCCACTGTAATTCAGAACACAATAAGTAAGTAACCATACAATGAGAAGTGTCTCTATAAAAACATTTTCATTAACTGGCGAGAACTTTTAAGTTTAAATTGTTTTAGAACACTTTGTAATTGTCCCCAGTAGTGACTAGCTATTAGCTTACTCGTTGTACCAGCACTATTCAAAGCCATCCACAGAGCTATAGTTGTTAATAATCGTTCAGAAGAGCCCTCAAATTGGGCAAAGAAGTGACTCTGCTGGTCTGCTATGTTAAGTCCAGCCATGAAGTAAAAAAGAATATAATGCACCAGTTTAGTGATGCTGATTCGCATAAAGCTTTTCCTGCGTGTTTGTTGTATCACATGCATCAGGCAGGATGAGTGCTGTGCTGCAATCTCTAAGGTAGGAGTAATAGCTCATACAAGACTCATTAGTTACCCCTCCCACACACACACACACACACACACACACACACACACACACACACACACACACACACACGACTCTATTTTCCCTTTCCCACTAGGCGGCAGCTCCGTGCTACACAGATGTTTAGTCAACAGTATGCGGGATGAAAATTCATCGCCCATGTTCAAACTCAACACAGGCTGATTCTACTCACTAATCAGAGGCAGCAGATGTGAATTTCAGCCAGCCAATCAGTCCGTAGTGTCACCTCGGTCCCAGCTGTACCTCCGAGGAAAAGGTCTGAAAAAAGAGTCACCTCAGAACGAAAAACGTGTGTCTGACCCAGGTGTGAAACCAAATTCTGGTCCCGGACCTGACTGTACTGACCCAGATGTGAAAGCCCCAATTGATGTGCCATCTTGGTTGAGCTGCACTACCTGAGCCACTCTTGTGGGTTGTAGACTCATGCAACCACCACAGTGAAAGCACCGCCAGCATTCAACAGTGACCAGCTTTAGCACATTATTCACTGATGTAAAAAGGCATTATTGTTATTGTGATGCACCAGTGAAGCAGGATAAATAAGTATACATAAGCATGCACTTTTACACTTTCAGTTTCAGACACCTGACCTCAGTTAGACAGATGATGTTTAGCTGGATAATTAGATTTAGTGACTTTTATTATTGTTTTGTTTTAGAGTCCTTTCTTTTGTGGGTTTTCCTTCAGTTTTCTCTATTGTCACTTGGTACAAAAAATAACAAAGTACGGCATACAAAGAGACAAAAGGCCAAATGAAAGCACTAAATACTTAAGAATAACCAAACACTATGGTGAAGACGACCTACATGTTATGGGTAAAGTACTGTTTAAAGAAAAGGGCTTTTTAAACTCTTTCTGAACTTTACTGGCCAAGCATGTCTCACTGCTGATCACTGCTAAAAGAGCAGAGGGTCGTCGGTAATTCCTCCCCTGAGAGAGGCGGAGGACAATTACAGCACAAACGAACACCAAAGTCTAAAATCAGCATGCGGTTTCTTGTTGCTCATTACTATGTATTTATGTTTATGTATTTAGCAGACGCTTTTATCCAAAGCGACTTACAAGTGATAATCGGCATGTTGCCCTTGAGGCTAACAACAACAACAACAACTTGACATCAATCATGGAGAGGAGGGAAAAAAGGAGTGGATGGTAGAGGTGGTGGTGGTGGTGGGTGGGTGGGGGTGGGGGTGGGGGTGGGGGTGCAGGGAAGGTGCTAGTTAAGAAGATGCTCTCTGAAGAGCAGGGTCTTCAGGAGTTTCTTGAAAATCGAAAAGGAAGCCCTTGTTCTAGTGAATGGAAGGTCATTCCACATTTGTGGAACGATGCATGAGAAGAGTCTGGATTGTCCTGAGCGTGGTGTAGGCACTGCTAGCCGACGATCCTGTGATGACTGGAGCGGCCGGGCCGAGACGTAAGCCTTTGCAAGAGGATTCAGGTAGATGGGAGCCGTACCATCTCGGACTTTGTATGCTAGTGTTAGCAGTTTGAATTTGATGCGTGCTGCTAGCGGTAGCCAGTGGAGCTCAATGAACAGAGGGGTGACGTGTGCTCTTTTTGGCTGGTTGAAGACCAGACGTGCCGCTGCGTTCTGGACCATTTGAAGAGGTCTCACAGTACAGGCTGGAAGACCAGTTAGAAGGGCATTGCAGTAGTCGAGGCGGGAGATGACAGTAGATTGCACCAGGAGCTGGGTGGCATGTGTTAGGTATGGTCTGATCTTTTGTATGTTATACAGCGTAAAGCGGCATGAACGAGCAACAGAGGCAACATGATCTTTAAAAGTCAGGTGTTCATCAATCACAACACCCAGATTTCGAACTGCCTCTGAAGGAGCCAGAGATAGGAAGTCATTCTGGATTGAGATATTGTGCTGTATGGATGGTTCTGCTGGGATGACAAGTAGTTCAGTTTTAGAGAGGTTGAGTTGGAGATGGTGGGATTTCATCCATTTTGATATGTCAGAGAGACAGTTTGATATTCGTGCAGAGACAGTGTGGTCGTCCGGTGGAAATGACAGATAGAGCTGGGTGTCGTCTGCATAGCAGTGGTAGGAGAAGCCATGTGATCGAATGATCTCACCCAGTGAGGTGGTGTATATGGCAAAGAGAAGAGGTCCTAGTACAGAGCCCTGGGGGACTCCTGTGGCAAGATGGTGCACGGTAGAGGATTGTCCAAGCCAAGATACACTGAATGATCGTCCTGTGAGGTACGATTTAAACAAGGCGTGTGCTTTCTCTGTGATGCCCATGCTAGAGAGTGTGTGCTTTCTCTGTGATGCCCATGCTAGAGAGTGTGTGCTTTCTCTGTGATGCCCATGCTAGAGAGTGTGGACAAAAGGAAGCCATGGTTGACAGTGTCAAATGCAGCCGATAAGTCGAGCAGGATAAGCACGAAGGATTTGGCAGTCGCTCTAGCTTGTTTTAAGGATTCAGTCACTGCTAACAGAGCAGTTTCAATGGAGTGGCCCTTTTTGAACCCAGATTGGTAAGGGTCAAGCAGACAGTTTTGTGAGAGGTATTCTGTGATCTGCTTGAAAGCCACCCTTTCAATGATTTTGGACAGAAAAGGGAGGAGAGAGATGGTCTGTAGTTCTCCACATGATTTGGAGGAAGATATGTTTTTGTTAGCAGTGGTTTAACCTGACCATGCTTGAGAGAGGTGGGAAATGTACCGGATGTCAGTGAAGCGTTGATCACATGTGTGACTGCTACGGCTACTGTAGGAGCAATAGCTTGGAGCAGCTTAGTCGGAATGGGGTCCAGTGGGCATGTAGTAGGGCGGCTGCACGTGAGAAGCTTGGACACACAGTTCTCAGTGAGAGGGGAAAAAG